AATGCCGTGCTGAGTTTAAGGTGATTAGGTTGGGGTCCAGGAGCAGACTCCCGGACTAGGAAAATATCGTGATACAGTATATAATGTGATGCTCTAAAATTTCCAGAGTGCAAGGCCTGGTGCACTTGATACAGAAAGTGCATACAACAACAGCCAAACGAGGGACCCAGCAACACAGGGTGTAGTGAGAAGACACCCTAGAGGTGGAGGAGGCGGGGGTGGGGTGGCGATGCTGGTGCTCGGGGGGAATCGGAGGGTAGGGATGGACATGTCTCGGCCAGTACGAGAGGAAATGTACAGGTAAACCATTCTTTGTTTTTATTTTGGTAGAACAGGATTTACCGGATGACTTATTATATATATGCGTAAAGTAAGGATACAGTGAATATTTTTAGCAGCATATTTAGAAAATGTTTAATTAGAAACAAATACTCTGAAGGGTATTACAACAGAGTAGCTGATTGCTATAGTTCTTGATAATCATTATATTTTTGTGCAGGGATGTGCATTTATTATGTTAATGGCATGTCTGTATGTACGTTTCAGCACTAGGGTTATGTACTTTTTAGACGACTGTAATTCAGGTAATAGTTGACAGGATTTCTTTTTTACCATTTCCGACACGAAGGATGCAAGACGGATGATGCAGCCCCAGAGTGAGTGGGAAGAGTTAGAGGAAGAGGAAGAAGAGTTGAAGTATGGTGCACAGCATGTCATCAAGTTGTTCATCCCAGTATCTCTGTGTATGCTGGTGGTGGTGGCCACAGTATCTTCAGTCAGATTTTACACCCAGAAGGGAATATATCTGTGAGTATTGTGTGTCAACATAGCATTGGATGGTTTTAGCTGATTTTGGAAACTGTTTGACCTCTTTTGTGTACTTTTCTTTTATGTTATTTACTATATAATCCGAGAGGGAGTTTTTACAGGGAGAATAATCAGCTCAGATAGTAAAAATGTATCAGTGAAAAGGTTGTGGCTTGGGATAATGATCACATACAGAGCAGTATATATCTATTTGTTGAACTGCATTGTAAGAATTGTTGCATATACAGATAAGATAAACACACAGGTTTTGAACTTTGATTGTCATTATCAGGATTTCTGCTTTATATAGTTTTAATGAAGTCTGAAAATAAAAATTAGTGTTTGAACTGTTTGAACAAGCGATTTATCAGTTTTTCTTTTATTTCAGACTTTACACCCCATTCCATGAAACTTCACCTAGTTTTGGAGATCGGTTCTTTGACGCTGTGAGAAATTCACTGATTCTCCTAGGTGTCGTCGTGGTCTTAACAGTCCTCCTCATCATTTTATACAAGAAAAGATGCTACAAGGTGAGATTATTAGTTTAAAAGGTGCGCTCTGTTTTCTTATTCAAGGGTTTTATTTTGTTATTTGTTTTATTATCTACTTGCATGATTCATATTTGATTAATGAAGAAAAAACTTTGGTCAGTTTTCAAGGATTTGATTCCTGTAGAAGAGTGCATCTGAAGTTCAACTCTCTTTTTTTAATTATAGATGTTATATTCAACAAAGGATATTATAAGATTTTTGGTGAAGGACCGAACATTTTAACTGAAAAGGAAGGCACTATTGGGAGTTTAGATCTGGTACTTGTCCATCACTATAAATGGCATCGCATATCATTTCATCATTATGATGTTTTTATTTTGCATGTTGTGACAGCTTTGATTTTTCTTCAGTTTGTAGGATAGAACTTTAGCCTCCAAATGTTTCTTTATTGATTTTGTGAAATTTACCATGTCTGGAAATCTTGGGGCTGTCATGGTGTTATGTGGTCATATAGCATCATTGGCAGCATTTTTTTTTCTGCTTATATCCATGTTCTATCTTTCCTGTAGCCCTTGCATTCATATTATACATATTGTGAATTTGAGTTAGTTAAGATATGACACAGCTTTGTATCTGTTGCCATTCTGTAGAAGAGAATTTACAGGAAAAAAGGAACATTTCTTTTGAGGGAGAGGCAATAGCTTACATATGCATAGTAGATAATAAGGGTAAAAAAAAGAAATTGGAGGATTCATAAACAAACTTGCAAGTTTTGTAATCATATAAGGTGTAAATCTTCATATATCCCCTTGAATAAACAAATGATTATGGATATGTTTTGATCTTAAGTATTTTTGCAGATTATCCATGGTTGGCTCCTCATGTCCTCTCTGTTGCTGCTCTTCTTTTTCACCATAATGTATATGCAGTAAGTTTCTCTCTCTGGTTTGAGAAAGCAAAAGAACTTGTGTTTTGAGAGGATGAAGTTTTCAGTGCTACTATGATACCAGTGTAGGGAAACCTATTCCTTATTGAAATTCACTTGCCAAATTTGTTACTGATTCATGAATGGCTTTTGTAGGGAGCTCCTGCGAGGTTACAACATCGGTATGGACTGGATCACAGTGTCGATATGCGTGTGGAACTTTGGCGTGATGGGGATGGTGAGCATCCATTGGCACGGCCCCCTCCCTCTTCAGCAA